TGGAAGGTTCTTGTTTTATCATTTCTAGAACGTACTAGTTATCGGCTTCTCTCTTTCATCTGACATTCGCCTCGCATTTTCGCAACAATATATAAAACAGGTCTTGGGACTTTAACTTAACAATCCAGTGATCGAACTCAGAGTATTTGAGATTTAGAAGGAATTTTTAGAATTGGTGTCAGAAGTGATAAGAAGAATAAGAATTTGAAAATTATCATATTTCAGAATTTGTTGATACTAACCTAAAAAGTAATAAGCCAAGCCAAAAAATTTCTACAATCGTCATAGAAATGGTTATGATAAAATTTATTTAAACAAGACAGTTGTATGAAACCCTAGAGACAAGGTGAATTTAAATCTCACCACTATTTGTTTGTTTTTTCTTATAAACATCGTCTATCAGCTGAGTGAAATATATCTGCAATTTTGTTTTGACCAACAAAAAAAAAATTATTTATTTTTGATATCAACCGCAATGAGTGCAGAATATGAAGAACAACAAGTCGATATTAGTTTAAGCGTACGTAAAAAAGTAAGTATAGTGTGGCGGTATTTCGAGAAGTTGGATAGGCTACGAGTTCGATGTAGACTGTGTCATCACGAGCAGAACTATCAAGGCACAACTGGAAATATTTTACGGCATTTGAAAAATAAGCATAATATCGATGCAACTCTTAAAGGCCAACAAGCTATCCATCGTCGGGTTACTAAATTTGATAATGAACTGGAACTAAAGACAAACACGAAGGCAGTTGATCAGGTTAGTAGCTTCTTTCCTTATGTCAATGTACGAAAGTTAATATTGTAATTTATAGGACTCCATCAATAGTATTAACGGGCAAACAAATGATATTAAGGGTGAACAAAAACACGAACAAGAGTTTTTAGATCCATATACAGGCAATGCACTTGTAAGTACTTTTTACTTTTCTTTAATTACATTCGTATAGTAAAAAAAATTTGTATTTTAGTCTTACAATTACGCAGACGAGATTTCGGACAAAAATAGCAAAGGAGCCACCCTGGATAAAATAAAATGTTCTCCTGAAGAAGAACGAATAATAGCAGAAATAGATTACTTCCGTGAAAAAGCTGGTTACTATAGAATGCAAAAAAATCTTATTGCATTGCAAGCGAAAAAAATCAAATATGAACTTGAACGTTTATAACGATGTCATTCAGCTTGTTACTTAGATGTTTAAAAAAATATTTTTAAGTTTTTATTTAGTTATTTAAGCGTAGTAGAATTTACTACCAAATATTCGTTTCTCTAGAGTTTGTAGTCTTAAAAAAAAATAACCATAAGCAAGAAATCTAAAAGGGTTTTATGAATAGATACGAGGATTTTGCTAAACGATATATTCTGGCTCCTATAAAGCAGCAGTGTCTCTTAATCTGTTGAAATGTATGCAATACGGAATAAATGATAATTTTTACGTTAAATTTTATTTTAATATAATATATCTTGGAGTTACTTAATAACAGCGGCACACAAAAAGAAAACATGTGCAGCTCAGTACACAGAACAGAAGTGAAACTTCGATAGGAATCTTTACAAAAATTTTTATTTCGTTGACGATTTTAAATTGTTGTGAGTGAGGAACATCCGCTTATTAATTAATTAGTCATTTATAATTATGCCGTTAATTTATTTCTTCTATTTGCATACTCTCTTCATGAAATTCATCAATTTTTTTATTTTTCGGAAATTTTACGGCGTTAGTTTGCTTTCGAACATAATATATCAATATATATATCATCAGCCAGGCGTCAATATCGAGAATATAAAATTTTTATTTCTGCGAGTTTGGTTTTGGTGCCACTACTGTTGCTTCTATATGGTCAAAATTAAATCACTTTCTTCTCTAATGGGAAAGGATATATTATTCTTTGAATGACGATTCTTTGATTTCCAAATTTAATTAAAATATAAAAATTAAAAGTTGTTATCGTCCCATTTCATTTCACCGCAATATTTATATATAAAACATTTTACAAATTTTTCTATGTGTAAACTTGAGGTGAATAAAACAGTTTCACCTTGTAGTTTGTATGAGTTCAGGGATGTATGTTTTAATATTTATTTACATTTATCAAGTTTTTGTTGTGTCTCCCTGGTAGCGAAATATGGGTAAATAATACCGATTTTTAATTAAAAGTCTTGAAGTTTTCATACAATTTTGTTTTAGAAATTGCAGAAGAGGTAAAATATATTCCGCATAAGCTAAAAGCTAATGATAAAAGTTCGGTGTGGTATTACTTTTTGGTTCCTGCTAGTGGGGGTCCGACAGCGCAGTGCAAAAAGTGTAATAAAGTTTTAAAGACCTGTTTCGGATCCACTAAAGGACTTTTAACTCATTTAAAGGTAAATTTATACTAAACACACTCAAATAATTTTCCAAAACTATAATTGATTATATTTTTTATTACATGTTGGTTTTAGTACCATAAAATAGAATTGGAGAGAAAGCCTAACAAACCAGCAGTTAAGGTAAGTTGATATTAGACCAGTCCTGTCCAAACTAGTGGTTACTCGGCCACTTGTGACCAAGCGTCAAATTTCAATGGCCTACGAGAAGACTAATATTTTTCAAATAATGATTCAATTTTTTTTGCAAAATCTGAACTAGTTGAATGTGAGGCTACAAAGAAAGAATAAATTAATTTGGGAGTTGGAAGAAGATATTTAAGAATTCAAGCTGTTTTCCAGTGTTAGACAAAAAACAATATTATGAAGAATTTGAGCTAGGTTACGATACCAATATATAGATATTTTGATAAACGCGTTTGACTCACGATTTGAAGAATTCTAAAAGTTTCAGTTGGCATTCAAATTTCTCAAAAAACCCAATCATTTGTGACCCAAATAATATTCAAAAAAATTTGGAATTCGATATTTTCGTTGGTAAATGAAGAAAGTGGATTGCCAAATGAAACGTGCGATGCAATGTGGAGACGTTTGTTATCTGAATGTAATTTCTTAGCACTCAAAGACTTTGTACTAAAGTTTTTGTGCATGTTTGGTTCCACATACGTTTATGAAGCATCATTCTCAAGTCTCGCGCGACGTAAAAATAAATAAATACCGCAATGCACAAAATTTGAAATCCGAACTTCGTTGTGAACTAATTGACAGAAAAAACGAATATGATCTGTCGCATTAATCTTAACTAAACAATCATTGTTTTAGTTAATTTTAACTCACAAAAAATAGATAGTCATACGTCGCATAACTAATCGAAAATAAATGCCAAAATGGGTTTCGACATGTTTTAACTGTTTTTCTTAGGTTTTTGAAAAAGTGGTCATTGAATAGATCTGTTGGCCACGCCAAAATAAAGTTTGGACACCACTGCATTAGACCTTACAGTTAAAAACAAAATAAAATATATATGTAACTATGTATTTTTGTTTCAATCCGAAACAGTAGAGCAGACGAATTTGATTATCAGTCTCAACAACTAGAACTACACCAACATTCTGATTACTGATAAAAATCTGAGACTTTCCGGAATAAAGAAACGACTATGGCGGGAAAATTCTTAAACCCCTACCCCGCAGGTATGAGTGCCTAACTCGTCCTTCGCTGTCCTCTACAGCATCCTATTTTATTGGCACTAACTACCCTGACACAACTTAGGTCTGGATATTGTACCAGGTTAAACTCCTACTTATCCAGACTAGGCCCCCTGCATACCCAACGTATGCCCTGCATGTGGAGAGACACTAACCACCTCTTCACATGCCCTCTCAAACCAACTCATCTAACCCTCCTCTCCCTCTGGTCCAACCCTGTCGAAACAGCTCGTTTCCTGGACCTGTTATCTGTGTTTGTTGCAATTCTCTCTTTAGCTGATTGCAATACGTACATATGCCTAAATATTTGTGTGCTTTCAGATGCCAGCAAAAAGGAGTCTTATATGGAATCATTTCGAGAATAAAGACACAAATAATGCTACTTGCAAGCATTGCTGGACCCAAATAAATTTCAACGGCAGCTCGATAGGTAATTTAAGGCGCCATTTGAAACTGCAGCATCCATTAATTCCTATGCATGACAAAACTTCAAATAGGAATGACGATGATGGAAGCACACTAGATGAAGAACTAATAGATCGAGAAGAGAACCCAACACAAAGCGAACAGGAGCTGGAAGTGGGGCAATCAGTATGTACTAATTTCATAGGTCGCCATTCCGACTAAAATCTCATTATCATTACAGATTTCGAACTAGTTTATGTGTGCGATTTTTATGATAACCTCTTGATAATACATCTAATTATGCATTTATGTTTTTAGGAAGTAACTAAAGTACCTACACTTAAGCCAAAATATGAGATAATTAACGGAAAAGTAGCTTCGGCCAGTCCAACGCGAAGTATTAATTCATCAACAGAATTCGATTGCGACATAAGCAATTTGTACGAAAAACAAATTGAGGTATAAAATGTATTTGATTATTTGAAATATCTTATAATAATCATTTTGCAGTTTGTAGATGGCTATTTAGTGAAGGATCCTTTCATTAACGAAGACATTCAGCACGATGAACCAAGGCCCCCGAAAGTCAGTAGACAAGAAAATTCATTTCAAAGAAACCAACATTTGCATGATCTAAAGACCCGCGTCGAAATACAGTTCATGCGCGCCAAAACTGCCTATTTTAAAAAACACACAGAGAATCTTGACATTGAACGCACCGTGCTGTTACTGAAAGCTAAAAAGCTCGAATTGGAAGTAGAAAAATTGCGTAATGAGACTGCTCGTAGAGTAACATCTACTGAACAAATTTAAGTCAAATAATTTAGTTTAAGAATAATTATATACTAAGTGGTTAGTGTTAAATAAATAATAAATAACTAATATACTAATAACAAAGTCTACCAGAATTAAGTCCTCTTCTTTACTTCACTGAGTTCCGAAAAAGCATGAGCACAAAGGACCGTCACGTTTTTGGCCTTATTCAATGTATGACTCAGGAGTTTTGCTTTGCCTGCAACCCCTTTCGGACATGGCGATCGCAGCAGCCGAATGGTTCACAATACGTGCTACCATACGTAGGATCAGGCCTTTAAATTCAACCAAATTTTTATAAAAAGATCGTCATAGGCCTAACCAAAGAGATTTAGGCCTGAAATTGAAAGAAGCAAGACGAAATACTTCACAAAGCTGAGAAATCATCCAAATCCGCTAGTTAATGCTTTATGCAGACCTTCAAAAAATTCCCGCCTGCAGCGAAGAGATGTTCCCGCCTTCCAAGGAGAGCTCCGTAGCTTGAAAAGGGCTCGGACTTACATAACTTGAGCTATCATGTTTGTAATTTAGGTTTTAAGATTTGTACACTCACTGTTAGGCTTTTTGATCGATATAATATTAATAATTATTAATAATCGAAAATTTCCAAATCATTGAAACGATATTTTGTTTGCTTTATGAGGATTACCGGCCACATTAAAAAAGGGAATTCCCGTAACGTAGCCATTATAGGAGTATATTTAGACACTTATTAGAAACTGTATTTAATATTTTTTAATATCTTTTCAAAAAATACGGTTTACAAATGGTCCAAACCAAACGCATCCATAACGCATAACGCATCCAATGCATGTTGTTGTTGTAGCCGCAAAAAATTGCGGGAGTAACAGTCCTTCGCCGGATGAAAATCCGGTAAAGACCCGACTTTCGCGGGAACTATTGAATTTTAGTCGCCTCTTACGACAGCCAAGCATTACCGCGGGTAAATTCTGAGCCCCTAATCAATACGGGTCCGTTTTTTACTTCAGTCAAGCACACAAAATATTTCTTCTCGCTATAGTGTTAAACAAATGATGGAGAAAGAAGGTAAGTAGTCCAAATACACAAGGACAGTTTCTTACGCACGTATTGAAAATTTCTCTCACAAAGTTGTGATAGCTGTAGAAAGTGGACTGGTCGCAGGCTTCTTTTTTACCCCATTTGAGAAGATGAACGTGCGCATACGCATAGATATGATAAAAGAACCCGATCAATGGCGAAAGTAGGTACAAGCATGTATGTGCATGAACATGTATTATGCAGCTACTCGTCTGCTCTAAAAGGATTTAGACATGTGTATAAAAGTGGTGGAATATCGAAATTATATGCATACGCCCTTATCTCTTCAGTTCGTGGAATGTTAAGTCGGACAAAATACAAATTTTTATCGGAAGCCTCTGCAACCAATAGGCGAAGCAATGTTACGACTACAAGATGGTAACATCTTGTCGTTTGGGTGGCAGCTTGGTTGCTTCCTCATCAGCTCTGTTTAGAGAAATTAGTTTATAGAGGAAGTGGGGATTTAGTTTGCCAAAGTTTGATCTGATAGGAATGGGTTCCGGAACGTGGCATCCTTCTCCTAAGCCAACGCCCTGGCCTTTCGTGGAATGGTATACTTACTGCGGCCTGGTGCGCCAGATAGTTTCGATTCCTGCCGAGCTTGTCACCTTCTTGAGACAATTCAGCAAGTGTCCGTTGCCCTTAACTGATTTTTCAACTACCTTTTTCTTGAGGCAACCCATACATAGTTCTGGCGCACCAGGCTGCAGTAAGTATACCATTCCATCCAAAGGCGACACTGAACCTATTAAAGCGGTCAGAGTGGCAGTGTTTTCCAGGAACTTTCCTATGGAGTTCATAACGCCCTACCAGCCGATCAATTTCCCAGAAGCCATCATGAATGGAGCAGTGATCGAATGGGAGAAACTTCTGGCATTCACAGGGCCATCCTTCAAAACAGGACTCAGGATGGATAACTATAGAATCAGTACAGCTGAATGACTAACAAATATAGTCCACTGACCTCATTGCAAGAGGATAGGTCCTTGTGACAGTTATTTCAATGGCAATATAAAACGAATTCAGTGCGGAATTTGAAAAATAGGGTTTTTAACATTTCTCTGATTATGTCAATGCCCTGAAGGATGACCTCGTTAGCAAGGATTCTGTCGAGCAGTTGAAATGTATTTGTAGGCGCTTTCCTTTGTGTCTTTCAACCCGTGGACAACAGCTGAAAAATTCAGCAAGAAGGATGGAACTCTCCTAGGACACTGAGACTGTTGGACTTCATGGAGGTCTAAAATGGACTAGGATCTCTACCTCAAAAAAAAATGCGCTAACAAAAAGAGGAAGGATCGACTGCGAAAAGTTACAATTTTCATTAATCGAATGAGAATTATTAATAGACTTCTTTGCGTGTTAGATATCCTCGCCAAGAGTGTCAAACGAAATTTTCTGTTCTTTCTAAATATTTGAAGCAATATTTGTAAAAATAACAACTTTTTAAACACACGCCTATTTTTATAGACATTTAAGAGTAGATAATAACTTATTTAATAAAAACATAAAATGAGCCGCAATTCTAATAGTTCTAATGAATTTGGAAATTTTCAAACTGGGAAAAATAACAGTAACATTGACAATGACTCCACTACCAATGTCGCAACTTACGACAAATCTCAATCATTAGTGGATATTGCCAACAATACATTCAAAGAATTATGCCGCACTCTAGAGAAAGAGCAGTCTAAACTCATGGAATTAGAGGAGCGTCGTAAAAAACTACAGGAAGAAATGTTACGTTTAAAACAAGAAATTGAAGAGGAGAAACACAGTTACCGACTAAATCTTGTGGAATCGTTGACAGAAAATGCGGAAGCAATGAGCACCAGAAGTAAGGAAGACTTCGAAAATGATAATATGGAAAAGGACGAAGGTAAAAAAGGAAACAAATTAAAACAAAAATACATTTTCACTTTAAATTTTTTACTAAAAGATTCGGGTTCCGAATTCAAAAGTAAACTATATACATGCTATGAAGATGATGAGGTTGCTATCGGCGAAGGTGCGACACATGTTAGCTACTTAGTTGAAGAAGAAGAAAGCAAACATCCGAATGACATTGCCCTTAGCATTCAGAAAAAATTGCAGGGCGTAGTTGCTGAATGCGTTATTGAACAGTGCAATTATGTTGATCCTGATAAAGAGGTATTTATTTTTATTAACTTAAAATGAAATGCAGAAAAAATTACATTTGTTTTTTTATATTTGTATGTAGGTGGGAACTTTGAATAAAACATCGCCTTAAACAAGCATCTTCAAATGTGTGTTTGAAATTTTATACACTTAAAAATTTTGTTTCAAATTTTATTTCTTAAATACTTACAATAAAACCGAAAACCATATTATTTATTTTTATAAAAATATTTTGTGTTTTAAAAGTTGCTCAATAGCTTTGTAAAGTTTTGTAAATTCTCCAGATTCCTGTGTGTAGGTGGAATATTGCAATTGATACTTAAATGTTTCCAAAAACGCCTTCGTTAACTAAAACTTATAAACTCATAATTTTCCATTAATACAAATAGTTTACGATTTTACCTGTATAACTTCAGTATTCATCTTATGTGCGGTGATGACTTCCATCAAAATTGTGATAAACTTTTCTAAAAATGCTATCAAATGTGGACTGATTACAGGCAAATCAATCGGAGTAACACATACCAAATAGCACTTATGCATTTCCTTGAAGAGTTGAAAAATATATTTCGTTACAAAATGATAAGAAATGTTATAATGCTTTAATACCCCTAAAAATTTATGTGAAATTTCGCTGCCTTGCATAAGTTTATAGGATTCAACAATAAACATATTCAAAATGCTTTTAGCCCATCGAAAAATTGTATAGGAGTTGTTCATACCGCAAATATTTCGCAACTTATCTAAAGAAGTTGAATGCGTGTTGTCTGTTTTACAAAGAGTTTCAATTTCTTGTTTATTTATTGCGAAGTATGACCCAAGCTTGGTAACTATTTGTAAATGGTAAAGCGATATTAAATTGTCAGAAGCCATTGTTACATTTTTAATAGCTTTTTCCATCAATTCATCCAGATGACTCCACTACAATAAACGATGAATATTAATAATGTAAATGAGTATTATGAATGAAATTTACATTAAAACTGTCCAATTCTTTGAAGAAGTCCAAACATTTGTATAAGCATTCCCAGACCGCTGCGGCCGCTTCAATCGTGTCCAAGAAGTCAACATCTCTCAATACTGAATCATATATAACACCATGTATGTTTTGTTCTTGAATATATTCAAATTTCTATATTTTTAAATTATAAATTTATTATTTGTTAAAGATATACTGCTTTACTTACACCGCTCTTTAAAATAATTTTAAATATTGTTATCCCTATATGTTTGCATGTTAGCTCATGGCTTTCTCGAACCGTTGCTCCCACTGATAAACAGAAATTAACCCACTGTTCGTTCAGTGTCTGTGCACAATATTGCAACTATAAATGCATAATTATTTATTTTATTATCCTAAAATAAGCTTGGAATTTCTATTTTACCTGCAAAAATCTGGTGAATCCATGCAAACATCCTAGTTGCCTTTTCCAAGTTGTTTTACCAAGTCTTTCTTGATAAAATTTAAATATGATATGCTCTATGGCGGCGTTGTAAATTGGCGTTCTTTCGTTTAATATTCGGTCAGCGTTTTTATGAATACTTTCATTACCCAACCGGTAAATGCTTGAAGGTGAAGTAATTTCGCACAGCAAGACTACTAATTCAGCGTAAACCTAGGAATATTAATTCAATACACAATATCTTTACAATGAATATTTTTAAATGTTTACCCCATGAGCTTCTGGATCGTTGCTTTCAAAAATCCAATGCTGATTTATTTGCAACAAATCAAATAGTATTGGGAGCTGCACTTCTAAGCACTTTCTGTATTCATCAAAATGTTCACTTTTTAAAAGTGCGTTGTCCAAATCCTCTTTTAACACAGGTACGAAGCATCCGGAAATCAAATTCCTAAAATTTTTCAAATTCTCCGCCGCAGTAAACATTGTGTTTCCTTCTTTACAACAATAACAGCTTCCGCCGTTTTAATATTTATCAAGAACCAAATATACTTGGTGGGAATTAATCCATTTACAAACTTGCATAGGATTCCATTCAAATTTTCAAGGAAACGTGAACAGCTGCTTCTGTTTTTATTAGTGTGGTGTCAAAAACAGTCGGTTATTCTGTCAGTAAAAATAACCCTGCAGGAACACCATACAGAGATAAAACAGCATCAGTCATCTGAGTCACCAAATGACTAGATACGACACTTAGACAATATTACAGCTGAATGAGAGATTGTCACGCTTATACCGCAACTACCCATCTTACATATCATCCGCCCATAGCAACCTATCTTATGAGAGCGCCATGTAAATGATAAGTTGCCACCGCTTGCCGGTGCTGTTACTGACGGTTGTCCTGCAGAAAATTGTCCAGTTAACTTCCACAGAACATCACGAATATGTAGTTATTTTCTTTTTATTTTGAATGGCATATGGATGCATTCATATGTTGCCTGGTTATATATTTCCGTTAAAAACATTTATTCCATACAAAATTAAAATTTATTTCTCATTTGATAATTATGTCATGTTCATCATATGCACTTTTAAATGAGGCCACTAATATACATGAAAATGTCCACACATATTATTTTATAACTCACATGTACTGTGTATGGAATTCGAAATAAGTAAAGTTCAAAGTTCAAGGGTTGCATAATTGGGCCTTTAGTTTACGGGAAGAGAAATTTATGAAAGCTTTCTCAAAGAACGTATAATAATACGTTCTCTGGCTTTCCTTTTTACAGTACTGCCAACCGCTAATTGTGGATATGAACAAATTCCACACTTTGACTTGTGACATTTTTGTTGTTGTAGTTCAGCCGTCCGTCGCAGTTGTCATATGATCAATTTTCATTTTGGGGCCAGGAATAAAGAAAATAATGTTGAAATTTCTAGCAATTTTCGTATACTGCTTTTTAGCAGGTGAGTAATCAGAAATTCTTGTAATAATCTATTTACAACCCAGAAAATATTATTTGCTGAATCGCATAGTCTTAGAAAAGTACAAAATTCAAATAAGATAGGCGTAGTGAAGGTTTTACATACCATATTGATTTTGTGCTTAGTCAACAAAGAATTATTATGATCAAAATTATATGTACTTATACTGAACTTAAATTAATAAAAATTCGTGATTTCAGTTAATGCTGACGGTACGTTCTACGTATTGAACAGTCCCGACTCGCTGACCTTCCAACGCATTCCTGCTGTTCTTCCAAGTGAACAGGTGTGCGATGTAATTAACGCAGCTAAAGGTTTGGATGTATCCGATACAGCCGATTTTCCTGGTCTCGTAATCAATGACCCATTCGGACTTCCCCAAAAAGCCATTATTGTTGATGTTATTGGTTTGAACGATGTTCCATTAAGTGACGACAAAGTCAGCTATAAACTCGACGGTAAATCACTATGCGCCTCTTTGGAAGATTTGAAATTGTTATCAACTGACAGTCAATCTAGTTGTGATATTAAAATCTCCAGCTCTGAGCAAAACGTAAGTACTTAAAATAAATGTCAATATTGAAATGTGAAATATATGCCTTCTTTTCTTTAAGCAGCTTGTGGACTGCGTTGTAAAATCGAACAATGAGTTCGTTTATGCAAAAATTGATGTATCTGACTTAGTAAAGGATGACGCAGACAAAAAGAATGTGATTTCACTATTGGTTAACGAACTTGATACACTACAAAAGAAAGTCGCAAGCGAAACTTCACAGTCACTGTTGGTCGTAGTTGTCGTACATGAAAATGAGAAGGATTCTAGCGTTTCGCGTAAGAGACGAGATGCTCTTCCAGGATCAAAAACTGTAAGTATTTAAACTTTCGGATTAAAAATATGTTAATTTTTTTCTTTTCTTATTAGAATACGTACAACCTTGCTGCCTACTACGATCAAAACTACCCAGTGATCTTCAACATTATTCTTTGGTTCATGGTTGCATTGGGACTATCGCTTTTGGCCGTTTGCTACGCCATTGCGGATATGGATCCCGGCAGAGACTCGATTATCTACAGAATGACCTCAACAAGAATGAAGAAAGATAATTAAGGTTTTATTGTTTATATTTTGTTTTCTGTGTACAATTTTTTTGAAATTTAAGTCCGAAATCGCAATGCATATGTATAATGGATTGCATATATTAAAATCAAGTATTATAATAATGTTCGAAAGTTAATTTAAAGATATTGCGGTTCAATGTGAAGGCTATAATAGCAGCCAAATAACATTCTGAATAATTAGAAACTTTTTCTTTTTATGATATTTTATTTCGGCTACCTCTAAGAAAAACTAGTGTGTGTGTGTTGTTTACTTATTACAAGTTCATCTGTAATAACAAAGAGGTAGTGCTTGAAATTAATATTAAATAAACATTGTAAAATGGTGGTTACTAAATAAATTATGAAAGAGAAACACTATTATTTCATTTATTTTCGAGTTGGTTCTGAAAATATGGCAGAACTTGATTATGTGATAATTAATCAGATAATTGCAGCGACTCCAGGGAAAAATCCACGAGATAGACGACTTCATGAGCAGCTAGCATTTGCAAATAGCTGCGCTCCAGGAACAACAACACCGCTTAGATCTTCTGAGCCTTGCCGTTCATCTTACGAAACACCCTGCAGTGTCGTCTAATCGGCAGCGACATCGACCACAAGGATACTAACCTAGAATGTGAGGACTAGCCGTCTGGGCAATGTCGAGCTCGAAATATTTAATATATGCGTTCCTCGAATACCTTATTGCCCGTTCTGATATAGATGCGCTATTCAGAGGCGGAAACCAATTGGTTATGGCAAGTTTAACGCTCACGACGACTTTTGGCTATTAGTGTAACAAATGATCATAGAGGGACGATTGGACGTTCTGAATCATGAACTGCGACGCTTCACGTGAATGGGTAACGGGACAGAAGGCACTGCTGTGATCTTTTGAGGCGCAGTTGAGCGCTAGCAGCGTTGATTGCATGGAGTAACCTTGTTGCGAGGTATAGTTTCGTTGATGAACTTAGACTAATGTTACCTGTTGACCTAAACTGGGTAACATGCTCCGATTTGGATGCCGGAGACTAGTGAGACTCAGATGAAGAAATTACAAGCTTGTCAGAACATCGCCTTTAGGATGGTATAATAAAACTTCGGATTCGTTCCGCGTAAATGAGCATAATGCCATGTTGTGTAATTAACATCTGCTGGAAAGCTACAGAAGGGAGCATTCCACACATCGTATACGTTCTCTGCTCGTTACTTTTTAAGTTATGGCAAAGAGTCGATCGAAAATATAATTAAGCCAGCTGGCAGCACCGTCCAGTTCAGAAAATCAAATATTCTGATATGTGGCATTCCTCACATTTAGACAAATGTTGTTGACACTTCCCGGTGCATTGGTTGTAATTCTATATAAAGTTTTCTAAAGATTATTTATTAAAAACAAAAAACTTTTTTCTTCAAACATTACAAAGTAGAAAGCCGCTATCATGTCTATCGAAATTGAATCGGCCGAGTGAGTATACACAATACCTTTTAAACTCGCATACAGCACTACAACTTTTGGTTATTAATTTCAGTGTTATCCGATTAATTCAGCAATATTTAAAAGAATCGAATTTATATAAAACGTTACAAACACTTCAAGAAGAGACCGGAGTTTCACTGAATACAGTAGATAGTGTAGATGGTTTCGTACAGGATATTGTGAATGGACACTGGGACACGGTGCTGAAAGTAACTCAATCGCTTAAATTACCAGACAAAAAGCTTCTTAATCTCTATGAACAAATTGTGCTTGAATTAATTGAGCTACGTGAGTTGGGAGCAGCTCGATCATTGCTTCGCCAAACAGATCCTATGATTATGCTGAAACAACATGAACCCGAGCGTTACATTCATTTGGGTAAGTACATAATATAAGAAAGTTTCCTTTTTTTCAACAAAACCGTATTACAGAAAATATGCTGCAGCGCGCATATTTCGATCCGAGAGAAGCATATCCAGAAGGTAGCAGCAAGGAAAAGCGTCGAGCTGTCATAGCACAAGAGTTAAGTGGAGAAGTACATGTTGTGCCGTCATCACGTCTATTGGCATTGTTGGGTCAAGCTTTAAAATGGCAACAGCATCAGGGACTTTTGCCACCTGGTACTACAATCGATTTGTTCCGAGGCAAAGCGGCAATGAAGGATCAAGAGGAGGAAATGTTTCCCACTCAAATGTTCAGGCAAATTAAATTTGGTCAAAAATCTCACGTCGAATGCGCACAGTTTTCACCTGATGGTCAATATCTAATTACTGGTAGTGTAGATGGATTCCTTGAGGTTTGGAATTTCACGACTGGCAAAATTCGAAAGGATCTCAAATATCAGGCACAGGATCAATTTATGATGATGGAACAAGCTGTGTTAGCCTTGTCATTTTCTCGCGACTCTGAAATGGTAGCTTCTGGCGCTCAAGATGGGCAAATTAAAGTTTGGCGTATTATAACAGGTCAATGTTTGAGGAAATTCGAAAAAGCACACACAAAGGGCATTACCTGTTTGCAGTTCTCCCGTGATAATAGTCAAGTACTGAGCGCTTCCTTCGATTATAGTATACGATTGCATGGCCTAAAATCAGGAAAAATGCTTAAAGAGTTCAAAGGCATGTTTTAATTTTGGAATTAGAGCTTAGATATACTCTTAACTAATTTCATTTAAACCCTATAGGTCACACTTCGTTTGTTAACGAGGCAACTTTTACGCCTGATGGACACAATATACTCAGCGCTTCTTCAGATGGTACTGTGAAGGTTTGGTCTTTAAAAACTACGGAATGCATATCCACTTACAAACCTTTAGGCAATGAGCTGGCTGTTAATACCGTATTAATATTACCGAAAAATCCCGAACATTTTATTGTTTGCAATCGTTCAAATACTGTAGTTATCATGAATATGCAGGGTCAGATTGTACGCTCATTCTCATCGGGTAAACGCGAAGGAGGCGCTTTCATTTCAGCGACTATATCACCGCGAGGCGAATTTATTTATTGTGCGGGGGAAGATCAAGTACTGTATTGCTTTTCGGTTACATCTGGCAAGCTGGAACGTACGCTAAATGTGAGTACTCAACTAATTTAGGAATGTAAAAGATGCACATGTGTCACCAATAAATATTACGCTTTAATTACAGGTTCATGAGAAAGATGTAATTGGTTTAGCTCATCACCCACACCAAAATTTATTAGCTACGTATAGCGAAGATGGGCTATTAAAATTGTGGAAGCCATAAGTTTAGTTAAGAAATTTAATTATTAGATATTCTTATTATCTGCTATGCAACTTAAAATTTTAATAAAAAACTGATAAAAACGAAAGTAATGCGTATTAAAATAATTTTACAACAATATGCTTAAGGTGAAAACGAGAGAAATATAGCCGATGTGCTACGATGTAAATTGATTTTAATTAAGTGATATGCAAATTCATGAGCTCGTCGTTAATTTAGCATATCAATTCTGTACATATGTATGTAAGATTTTGTTTTTTCTTTTACGCCAAGTCTAGGCAAATTTATGTATACATGTACATACATACATATGTATAATATAAGAAACAGTCATTGGCTTAAGCTTTATATCGTTGATCTGGAATTGAATTAGATTAAACCCGGCAGTGCCGTGTGCATACTTTCGACTTGACGTTGCATTTGGATTGTGCGGAACCATGAAGAGCGAGCCAATTATCGAAAAGATACGCAATAAACTGAAGGATTCAGATCCTGATCGACGAACTGTTTTAAGTGTGTTTCAATTTAACTTTACTGATGCCGATGGCAAGCTAATTAAAAGTACAGGTGAATGTAGTTTCATAACTGTGACATAAATATTTATTGAAATGTATTTGTGACAATTATTAATGTAAATTGTTTAGTATTCGATTTTAAAGATTTAAACATCTATGATGGCACAACTGATGCATCGGATGCTGAAATAACTATTTCCGATGAAGATTTTTATTTGGTGGGAACAAAAGAAATAACTTTTGATAAACTGTTAGCTGAGGTAAGTAATAGACATAAATATATTTATATACATATATTCGTATATATATTATACTTCATTAATTTATTGTTTATAGAAAAAGGTTTTAGTAAAGGGAGATATGACAGCCATCGATAAAATACTTGCTAAGTTTCGTTCTGGAGCAGAGAAGTGATCACAAGAAAAGCCTGCCTGAATTTTCATTTAATAACAATGACTATTATTACATATATATATGTATTTAGTTCCTTTTTTTATTCTACATATAATCTTATATAATATATTGACTCATGACACTTTTGATGGAAGTATGCGATATAAACGTTTGTACATATATTTACATGTATGTATGTACATATGTGTGCCCATGATTTTGAAAGTGTTATAAGTCAAAAATTTTAAAAATCTACTATATCAGCTTTTACTTGTCAAATCTTAATAAAATAATATAATCTGAAGAAAGTAGCAAATTAAATTAGTTGTTAACTGAAATACAGATATTGTTGGTTTTGATAGTGGTATAAGTCAGTGTGTTCACAAAGTAATTTTATTATGTCTTCAGATAGTGGTTCAGGTAGGATGAAGTAAAACTTTTAATGTAAAAACCTACTATTTAAAGTTAATTGTAGACATTTTACGGCGAATAAATGGAAATAATGCTCCCAAGAAATGGAAACGAATAAGAATGATATCGTCTTCTGATGAATCAGATGCAGAACCCATACAAATGGAAGAGCGCAAAATGAAATCAAGAAAGAGGACACGCAATCCACAGAATTATGCACAAAATATAAGAAAAATGAAGAGAAATAGTGGAGAGGAATATGAAACAAAAAACTCTAAGCACGTGAGTGCTAAACTTTTCGAAAATAAAGATTGTCTTTGTTCCAAAAAGTGTTTAAATGGAATCGGATACGAAGACAGGAAAGATAATTTTGATTATTTTTGGAAATTAGCAAATTTCGAAAAACAGAATCTGTTTCTGTGTGGTTTGATTACAAAACAATTAATAAAACAAAAACGCCCCAGAAATCACAAAGGATATATGAGAAAATGGAGTCTTAAGTTTCATCTATATGTAAGTATAAGTTCGGAAGTTTCTGTTTGCAAAACATTTTTTTTGGATACTTTCAAAATATCTAACGGAAGATTAAGCCGTGCTTTAAATTCTGAAACACCTGGAATGGATGGTCGTGGCAAAATGGCTAGTTCATCTAGAAAAACAGATGAAGAAAAACTTAAAGTAGTACGAGATCATATTCAGAGTTTTCCAGCATGTGAGAGCCATTACACGAGATCACGTCACACTTCAGGTCGAAAGTATCTAAGTGCTGACTTAGATATTCGAAAAATGTATGGGCTGTATGTGGAAAAATGTGATGAAAATAATACATCATATGTAAAGGAGTGGACTTATAGAAACATATTTAATACTGAGTTCAACCTAAATTTTCATATTCCTCGTAAAGACACGTGCCAAAAGTGTGATTCGATAAAACTAAAAATTGAATCATCCAGTAATGAGGACGAAAAGTTGCATCTTATGGAAATTCATGATTCACATCTTAAAAGTGCCGAACAGGCTAGAAAAAATTTAAAAGATGACATACAAAAAACAAAAGATAACCCGAAAGAAATTTACGGATTCACTAGAAAAAGCGCTTCCTTATCCAAAACTTTCTGTTTCGGTCGCTTACTATAAACGCAACGTGTATGTATACAATTTAGGGTTTCATAATTTCCACAATGGAAATGCTAAAATGTATGTATGGGATGAAACAATCGCCTCAAGAGGATCACAGGAAGTTGCGTCTTGCATCTTAAAGCATATTCGGGACATTACCACTCAAAAGAATATAAGAGCTTACAGTGATGTCTGCTCAGGACAAAATCGAAACATTAACATAGCTTTAATATGGTTAAAAATTGTTCAGTCATCTGATAACAATGTTGAAAGAATTGATCATAAATTTATGGTATCCGGCCATTCTTTCTTGCCAAATGATCGGGATTTTGGTTTGATAGAAACTAAAATTAAAAAATCTAATTATTTATACGTCCCTGAGCATTATTATAATTTAATAGAATCATGTAAGATGAGAAACCCATTTTCGGTAGTACAAATGGATCAAAAAGATTTTATTTCTACAAAACAACTAAAAGAATCAACGAATAATAGAAAGAAAAACATCAATGGAAAAGCTGTGCCTTGGTTAAAAATACAATGGATCAGATTTCTAAAAAATCCCCCATATAAGATGTTTTATAAAACTTCCTTGGATGACAACTCTGAATTCAAAGTATTAGACCTCTCACCTAAAAAAGGAAGACCTAGAATATACGGAAATATTGATTTACTTCCATTATACACAACCATTAGACCAATAACAAAAGAAAAACGTAAAGATATGATGGATCTACTACCCTATATTCCACCAATTTTTCACAAACACTTTATTTCTTTAAATACTAATGAATAATTTATGTTGTCACAATGAAATGAGTTTGAATAAAACGTTAATTACTAATAAAATTGTTTCATTTTTTCATTTATAAAGTCATGAAGTTAATTTTGAAAGTGGTCCAAGTCATTTAAACCTTTCAAAACCACATTTTCTTTTAAAAATGGCAATAAATTTCACAATCATAATAAGTACTTATTTGTTGGGACTACTTTAATATCGAAAAATCATAATCCATAATGTAAGAATATTTTTTAATCCTTTAAAATACAAAACTCTAAATATCTCGAAACAAAAAAAATATGACTTATACCACTTTCAAAATCATGGGCACATGTATATTTCAAAAATAATCATAAATAAAATATGAATAAATATACAGAAAGAAACTGCGTAATTACTCAGGGTGAGCTCAGTTTTGACATTTCGTTACTGGCTCATTCTTACTAACTGCCTTATCGAACGCTGTTGAGTAAGATTTAGTAAGAGGACGAATACTGGAAACACTCAGGAGCGTGTGGCTGATGAAATTTATGGAAGTACCAGGTAAAGAAAACCGCTTCTCTCTGCCTTGCTGCCAGGCAATTTGTTATGCTAGGGAAATTCGGAGCAAATCGATTATAGTAAGAAAAAAAAAACTACATAACTCATGCAAAATCTTGGGTCTTGGCCAATCTTTCAATACTTTTATCTTTTCCTTCGCAGTTCAGACGTCCTCTGCCTTTACCAAAAAGCCTAAGTAATTCGCTTCCTTTTGAAAAAACAAGCACTTTTTAGTACTCAGTTTGAGAACAGCTCCAGCCGTCCTCTAGAAAACTTCTTCCTAATTGTACAGGTGTTCCTCAAAGCTTTTCACAGCTTTTATTCAGGACCAAATGTAACGATATTTTATAAAAAAACAGAATTGCGATTCCTAATCAACCCTTTATGACTTTTACCTATAATATATTATACATAGGTACGTTTCAGTGCTTTGCTATGTCAACGAATTCTTATGGTCCAAAGTATTAATACAGTTTTTGATTTAATAATAAATAAATAATTATTTTAAAATTTGAAGGCCCACACTGGGATTTTGGGAAACTTTGAACATACCATACCCAGGGAGAATACAAGCAATAATATCAAAAATAGTTTCCGATTAATGGTTCTTGTTCTATAGCTGGTCAAAAGTAGTATAAAATTATAGAGTAGAAGGCTCTAGATACCAGGATATCGAATATTATTCGATACTCGTTCGTTGCTCAACTGCTCAAATATTTGTTTTAAATTTTCACTTTTGTTTGTCGTTTCAATGAGTTTTTCATTTTGCGTAAACAATTTTAAAAGTACAAAAAGAAGTTGTGAGAAAAAAGAGTAAAAAAATTTGTTCAAAATGCTTATAAAAGATCAAATTGCCCAAGTTCGTGCTTGAAATGCTCAAGTTACTCGAAAATGTTCGATCAAAACTTTGAGCTCAGATATAAAGTCAAACATAATTTTTTTTTCGTTTTGGTTGCCCCGACTTCCGAAGGATTTAGTTGTCTATTTATAACTAATTTTAGGAAAGTATTAAAAAATAATTATTCTTATTTATTTTTTTTAATATTAACAACGCATTAGTACAAAAAGAAAATAATAATAATATATAATGAACTGAATGACAAATATTTAAACCATTACTAAATAGTCAGTCATGTTGAAATTTGGCCTTTAAAATGCATATATATATGGTTCTTGAAATTGCTTCTGTTTAATTTCCTCTTCAAATTTGCAGGAAGAGAATCCAATAATCGGCTAGCATTGACAAAGAACAGCCTTGATGATTGCTGTGATTTACAAAAAGGTATTATATTGTATTACCTGCTCTGGTGGACCGAGTAAACGATAGCCTGGAAAAAAGATAGCAAGGAGATTTAGTTCGCGAAGAAAAATACAATTTCTGGCTTTATGATAGTCCGCAATCCTACATCCCAATATCTGATCTTTTCAAAACGAGATGTGTTCATATTTGGAAAGCCAAACACATACCGTGTGACATTATCAAACATAACATCAATTTTAGTGAGCAGACGCACTGTCATGTTTGCTGTATAAGACTTCAGAGTACATGATAACCGGAAGAATAATTGGCATAGCAAGTCGGCGTCTGGTAGCAGTGGGTGTAGATAGCTGACTGCCTAAGATTCCTCAGAATGACATAGACCAATCAAATTTACATAATCCGTTTAAGTAAGATTAGACTTAATAATGAACCCTAAGTTTTTAGTCTTGCTGACTAATTTTAAGGGACAATTGTTTATGAATATTGGGGACAAAAAAGTGCAGAAAAAAAATTTGCTGAATGTCATCAGCAAAACCATGCAGGTTTGAAAACTCGCGCACACTAAATATGTCATTAATAAATAAGCTAAAAAGCAGCGGACCAAGGATGGAGCCTTAGGCACCCCGGAAGTAACTGGCTTGAGTTTCGATGTGTCGTCCTCATATTTTACTACCGGAAACCTGTCAACAACTTAGCTTTTCACAATCTTTAAAACACTACAACTAAAACCACAGTACGATTTCAACTTACAGCAACAACAACTTATGGTTGACAATATCAAACGCTTTTGAAAAGTCAAGTAATCGAAGCAGGGTGAATTTATTTTGATCCATGTTGGCTCGAATAACATCAGTGATCTTTAGTACCGCAGTACTACAGCTGTGATTTTTCTTGAAGCCTGATTGAAACGGAGATAAATATTAAGTTGTGCTTGTTTACAAATTCATTTATTTGTTTAGCCATAAGCATCTCAAAAACTTTAGACATTACAGGGAGGATGCTTATTGGTCGAAAATCAGACGGACTACAAGGATGGTTATTTTTAGCGACAGGTAATACAGTACCAATTTTCCATTGCCCAGGGAAACAAGACGTGGTAATACAATGATTAATAATGTGCGTTAGTGTCCCAAG